CTCTGTAGTTTTCAGTATGCTGGAAATATTTCATGACTTTTAAAAATGGACTAGACCAACATCTACATAAAGATTAATTCAGAGTCACTGTATACATTTAGTTCTGTAGGAAATGGAAGCCCTAACCCCTAGTAAAGAAAATGGGAGCAAGCACGTGCTATGGGGATAAGGAGAGAGGGGAGGAAGGGAAGAAAAGATGGGAATGATACTGCATATATTAAAACCATAGGAAAGAAATGCAAGAAATTTTCCTGGTCAGTTTCTACAAACTCTGCATCTGTTTTGTAGATAGACACACTCAGAAGTTCCTGGACAATTTTTAAATCTCATGTTCTAGTAATCCAATTTTTCAGTTTGGTCAGGAGTTATTCAAGTCTGGCCTTAGTGTTTGCAAGAATGTGTGAACAGTATTTTTTTAGTACAAACTGTGAAGATGCCACCGTTTACTTCTTATTTGATGTTTCCACCACCACTGAGATGCATTTTGAAAATCATCTCTCTCTTCAAAGGCTTCTCCAGATTGGAAAGGCTAACTGAGGTACTTGTGGTTGTTGATATTTTTATGAGCAAGGGTGTTTCTACAGTGTTCCCACCACTGCTCAGGATTGCTGCTGTACACGCAGGCAGAACTGATTTTCCAGAGTGCTTAGATGGGCTATCCAGCTGGGCCAGGCGAAGTCGGGGGAATAATCACTTTCGGACTCTTTCACACAGGGCAGAACTCTATCTTTGTTGCTGCTGTTGGAGAGAAAGCCAGCTGGGGGCCCTAGCGTTTTCTTCTGTTAATGCCAGTGAAAAGCACTGTATTACTGATCAGGATTCCCCTTCCTTGTTTACATATATAGATAGCCCTATCAGGTAGCCCAGACCCTCTCCTCTTTCCCTAAGCAAGTACTGCTGTATTCTTCCCATTCTGACTGACTTAGGATGATGGGTGTCTAGCAAGTCCTATTAATCCCCACAGTTGATGCCAGCATGGTGTTACTGTCTCATTTAGAAAGTGAATGACACTTTTGTCAGCCTGAGTCTCACAACAATGAAAGTCACAGAACCTTGGGAGCTAGAAGAGAACTTAGAGGGCATCCTGTATAAATGAACAGGCTAACTGGGATAAAGGTATCCCCAGGGCATGCACAACAGTGTTTCAAGGACTACTGGGTGCATCAAATACACCTGACCCAACTCCTAGATGGGTCAATTTCACACAGGAATTTAACTACTAAACAGGGCATTTTAATATGCTGATACAAGGTAAAAGAATCAGATCAGCTATGGATTCAGATGCAAAGCTCACATGACTTTCTGGAATAAAATAATTCTTTGCCTGCTGAGGTGCTCACGTGGGGTCACTAGGAGTTGGCGCTGACTTGACAACACCTAACAATAACCACAGGTACTGGGGCCATTCGGATTCTTCTCTTCTCAAATTAGAGACTTGACCAAATGCAGAAATCACATCTGTATCATGATGAAGCGATCATTATGATGGATACCATTTATGGAGCACTTACTGCATGCCAGACAAGAGCCCTGGTGGTGCACTGGGTTAAGTGCTGGATTGCTAAGCTCTTGGTGGGAGACAGATGTGGCTCTCTGCTCCAGTAAGATTTACAGGAAACTCTAAGGAGCGGTTCTCTTCTGTCGTATAGTGAGTGTCACTACAAGTCGGGATTGACTCAAGGGCAGTGGGTTTGGTTTGGCTGTGGTTACACTAGACATTGTACTTAGGAGCTTCTGAAGTATTATTGCCTCTAATGAAACAGTAATAATATCACTGTTTCCCCTATACAGAGGAGGAAACAGCGGCTTTAAAGGGTAAAATCCCTTCCCATATTTGGACAGCTAGTAAAAGGCAGAGTTGGTGTTTCATCTCAGGGTTGGATGGCTCCAGAATCTAAGATCTTTATTGCTGCCTCAGAAATTTAAAATGGAGGCAAGAAACTCAACTCAGTCTTGAGCTGGCAGATGCTTCATCAAGTCACCTATCTTTCTGTCCCTCAAGTTTTCCCCTCTTTTCATTATCATGAGACTCCAGGAGCTTGTGGGTGACAGACACATGCACAGAGCATCCTATTTAGAGCTGAAATAGCCTTGTTCATACAAAAGACTTGGGCAGAAATGCCCACAGCAGCCCCAAAGTGGAAGGGACTTACATGGCCACTGTGGAGAAACAAAGCGTGCTCTGTCAAGACAAATGGAACACTCTTCAGCCATAAGTACTGAAGCATGCTATAACATGGATGAACCATGCTAAGTGATGGAAGCCAGACACAAAAGACCACAGAGTGATGACTGCATTTATATAAAGTGCCATAATCGTCAAATCCACAGAGAGTGAAAGCTTAGTGGTTGGACTGGGGGATGTAGAGAAATGGGGACTGAATGCTAGTGGGTCTAGAGTTCATTTTGGGGGGAAAAGGAATGTCTAAAATTAGGGAGTGGTGACAGTTGCACAACTTTGTGAATATTCTAAAAAATCCACTAAACTCTGTATCTTAAAAGCGTGAGTTTCACGGTGTGTGAATTACCTATCAATAAAGTTGTTTTCCCCAAAAAAGAAGAACTTTGTAGGCAATAGCAGTCAAAGAAAGCAGTCAATGTGAAAATACGTGAACAGAAGTATCCCAGAAATATTGTAGTACGTATAAGGTATAGTCTGTGTTACCTTTAACAAAGCGTATTATAGACATTGCAAGAGAGGCATGGCCTCCCCTACCTCTCCTGCTTGAAACCCTGTCCTGGGAGAATCTGAAATCTCCTCAGAGTACTCAAATCTAAACTGGCGGCTGATGGAAACCCCTGGGGCTTGTCTTGTTTCAAAAGAGAAAGGGAAAAAAGCTGAGAAACTCACCAAGGGCCCATATCCAAGGCCAATGAGGATAACAAAAAAATCTAGATTTCAGGGAAACGTTATCTTCCTATATTCTTTTGGGAGCAGCTTTCCAGTTATTTTCTACAGAGGAATTAGTGAAAAGAACCTCAACTATAAGAATACTGCTTTAACAGAACTTGTTGTTGTTATTAAGTGCTGTCGAGTTGGTTCTGATTTAATAGCCACTAACCTTGTGGTTCAAACTGACCTTGCAGCCCAGTATATTATCCTGCAGTGACACACCAGGACTCCTTTAGTAAAATAACCACCAACAATGAAATAAATCCTTACCTTCATAGACTGCTGAACTTTAGACACGGTCTCATTTTCATTTCAGTAGCATTTATGTGAAGTAGAAATTTTTACCCCCATTTTAAAAATAGGGAAAGTGAGACACATACAAAATTACCCAGTGAATGAGAAGCATATTCAAGAGTCAACCTGGATCTAAATTCCAAGCTCTGGGCTCTCTCGCTTTGCCATGCTAGTATTGGTGGTTTCCCTTCATCTCCCTTGGTCACATCCTTTTCACTTGATTGAAGAGCACAGTTAAGTTTGTTCTGGTCCCATTATTTTGTACTTGTTTTGTGTCAAGTTGGTTCCAAATCATAGCAACCCTGTATAGGTAGGGTTTCCAACAGCAAATGGTAGGTTTGCTGTCAACCTTGAGATTACCAGTCCGTGCTTATCCTATAGTGCTATAGTAGCACTCTTAGTTCCCGAGAAATGTTTATTTTCCCTTAAATTGTTCTAGTTTGCTGTATTCATTCCTTACATATCCTTTAAGACACTCTGGCCCAGCATATTTACTAAATATTTTTGTATAAGTAAATCAATCTCATGAATAATGAATGAAAAGACTCAAAAGCCTAAAAATTCCCTTCCCAGTTGCTGAAACAAGGCTTAGAACTGCATCAGACACTGCTGTCACTACTGAATTTGCCTTGTGAATTGACTTCTTAAAAAGCCATCCAACTCTTGCTTCCCAAAGAATCCCTAGATGAGAACTCTGCCTGCTACCTGAATTTTCACCTTTCACACACGTTCTGATATTTTCTAGTGACTAGTTATTCTCTAAGCTCTTTGGCATCATTTCCTCTCTCCTCCTCATCTCCCTTCTTCCAGGGCCAACATTTACTTCACACATACTTCTGCGGAGGTATGCAGGTTGTCACCAGTCTGAAAGTGCCCAAAGGAAACATCTGTGCCACAAACCAAGTCAACAACGTTATACTATGTCAGCCATGAAATGAGAGCAAGAAAGAGCCAGAAATTTAACCCTCAGCTGCTCTAAGCACCAAACCCTAACCGTGTGGACAAGGCGGTACTCACCTAAGAACATGAGCTACAAGTTCCTTCTCTCTGGCCACTAAAGAGTTAGCTTTTAAAACCTGGGAAGGATTGTGGTACAGTACATCCAGCTCTTTATTTCCAACAGTAGAGTGATTTAAAGACCAGGGTTATTAACAACATTCCTGCATCTGTTAAAAAGGTATGTTCTGTGTGTAGATTAAATTTCCACCTATTCAGCCTACCAACCTGCTTCTGTGCAATGATTTTGTGTTCTTGACCTTGGTTAATTAATACTTCCAGCACACCACTTAATGTGGAAATTAAAAAACAAAACCCAAACATAAATATAGAGAAATACACTGCTCCTATCACATTTAAATGACATGCAAAAATGTACTCACAAATGCAACACAGTGGATATCACTGGCTTTAGAAGATTCCCCTCAGTTTTCCAGTTTAAAGATGGTATTTTTAATATGTGAACTAAATGCAGTGACAGACTTTCTTTAGGTAAAGGATTCACAGGCAACCAGAGCTATAAAGAATGTCAGAAATCCTTAAGAACAAGTCCTTCATTTTACAATTGACAACACTCGCAAGTTAAGTGATCCATCTGTTTGATTGCTGGTTAATGACAAAGATTGGTCTTGGTTCCTGACTCCTAGTTCAGCAAGACCACAGTTCTTCCAAGTGAATATACTCATCGATAGCCAACCCAAAGGCAACAAAAATCAGAACTGCTGTCGCCACATACACAACTGGCATTGCACAGAAGCTGTTTCAACTTTTAGAATCCCTCCTCCCCTATGAGTTCTTTCCTGAACTCGTGACTCACCCTGCTGAGTTGATCCAGTAACCTTTGGTTCTGTTCCGACAGTTCCTGCACTGCCCGGGTTTTCTCTCGATCAGCTTCCCGCAGGTGCACATGCTGCCTCTCCAACTCATCCTGAAGCTGCTTCACGTCACTCTCCAGCTCCGACACTCGCCCTTCCCACTCCCCTTCTCGGTTTTCAAACCGTCGTCTTAGCTCATGTTTCTCTTGTTCTAAGTGCTACATGGAAAAAAAAAAAAAAAAAAGTAAAACTGGTTAAAAAAAAAAATCCCACAGCCTTTCTTTTCTATCTTTTCATATAATTTTAACTTTTCTTTTCCCCAGTCAGCCACATAAGACAAATATGTCACCTAATTCGCAGCTGTAGAGATCTTTCCTTCAGATTGGAAAACTAATTTGCTCTGTAAACGTTCATTCAAACTATAAGTTAAAAAAAAAAAAAATTCCCTTCATTCAGAGTACGGAAGGAATTTGATACACAAACAGATGCCAACCCTCCTGAAAATACTTACCGATGTTAGGTTATTCCTATCCTTAGACATGCGTTCTAGATTTAGGCATTCACTTTAGCAACTCATCTACACAGTGGATGAACTATATATTTAAGCAGCTAAAAATGAGTCCCATAACCAAAACACTCATTATTATTTTAAGGAGCCTTCTTTTTTGGCTCCATCTTCTTATTTAGAACCCTTTTCAGAGCTGGAAAGAACTTCAGTGATCCTTTAATCTTCTCTTCTTACAAATGAGGCAAGAGAGGATGGGGAGGTTAAGCATTCAAGGTCAATTAGTAAATGGCAGAGTTGAGGTTTATAACTCAGTCCCTTGATTGTTTAGTGTTATAAATCATAATGCAGCAAATATTTGTTGCTTTATAAGTACCCAGTGTTTCAATAACATTAAGGTAAGCTCAAGCCTACTTTAAATCATGGCCCGTTAAGCCTTGCAGATTTATTTTTCATCTATTCATTCATCTGCAGTAGCTACTATTGGCTAGATGCTGTTTTGGGGACACAGTGATTAACAAAATAGATGGAGTCTCTGTCTTCATGGAACTTTCATTCTAGTGCAGGGGGTGGGGGGAAGGCTGATAAATGTAAGTATGAGAGGGCTTCAAAAAGGTCATGGAAAAATGGAATGAAAAGATAATGGAATTTTTCCATGAACTTTCTGAAGCTCCCTCATGTTCAGTTATGTGTGATCAGTGCTATCCAGGAAAAGTACAGATGGGTTCATGTAGTCATTCAGTAGAAAGGGATTCCTTTAGGTTAAAGAACTAAGAACATCTTTCTTTCATGCGGAGCCTCTTTTTAGATGCAAGCATGTTCACCTACTTGAGAATACAAGAAAGATGTTTATTTGTGCTTTATTGATTATGCAAAGGCTTTTGACTGTGTGGATCATGACGAAATGAATAACATTGTGAAGACTGGGTATTCCAGAACACTTAACTGTGCTCATGAGGAATCTGTACATAGACCAAGAAGCAGTTGCTACAACAGAACAAGGGGACAACTGAATGGTTTAAAATCAGGAAAGGTGTGTGCCAGGGTTGTATCCTTTCACCAAACTTATTCAGTCTGCATGTTGAACAAATAATCAGAGAAACTGGATTATATTACGAAGAATAGGGCATCAGGACTGGAGGAATAAGGGAGACCCATTAACAATCTGTGATATACAGATGATACTACCTTGCTTGTTGAAAGTGAAGAGGACTTGAATACTAATGAAAAGCATAGACACAACCTTCAGTACAGATTATACCTTGATGTAAACAAAAAAATCCTCACAACTGGATCAATAAATAATAATCATGATAAATGGACAAAAAATACTGAAGTTGTCAAAGATTTCATTTTGTTTGTAATGTCGATTGATTCCAGAAAACAAAGGACACACTGCATTAAGCAAATCTGCTGTACAAGACTTCTTTAAAGTGTTCAAGAGCAAAGATGTCAGTTTGAGGGCAGCCATGGGATTTTTCAGTAGCCTCCTATTTATGTGAAAGTTGGACAATGAATAAGGAAGATTGTAGAAGATTCGATGTATATGAATTATGCTTTTGGGAAAAAGTACCACGGACTTCCAGAAGAATAAACAAATCTGTGTGGGAAGAAGTACAGTCAGAGTGCTCCTTAGAAGCCAAGCTGGTAAGGCTGTCATGTTTTGGACAAAGAGGGACCAGTTCCTAGAAAACGACATCATGCTTGGCAAAGTGAAGGAGCAGCAAAAAAAGAGACGGCCCTCAAGGAGATAGACTGACACAGTGACAGCCAAAATGGGCTCAAATGTAACAACAATTGTGAGGCTGGCACACGGCCAGGCAGTGTTTCCTTCTGTTTTGTATAGGGTCACTAGGAGCTGTAACGGACTCAATGGCACCTAACAACAACAATAAATGTAGTGGTTACGAATCGGGCTGCGAACCTTAAGGTCAGCGGTTCGAAACTACCAGCCGCTCCGCGGGAGAAAGATGAGGCTTTCTACTCCCGTAAGGATTTACACCCTCGGAAACCCTGTACAGGGTCGCTATGGGTCGGAACCGACTCGACGGCACTTAACAACAACAACAACAACTTAAAAAAAAACCACCTCAAAACATTAATATGTGCAAAAGCCAAGTCTATACCTCAAGAAGTGTATGAGGTGCAAGCTAAAGTAAGGATCCTTAATTTTTGATGCCCTCCGAAAAGTTTTGGTGTCACTGTTCAAAACAACAACCCCCTGGAGCTCACTTGTCAAGATAGTGGCTCAGGTAAGAAGGGCTGAGACCTAGGAGTCTATGTGGAATTTTTTTAAAACAGATCTACAGGAAATTCCATTGAACATTGAAGGTTGAAATAAGACAGTTGTTTCAACCAGCTAAAGGGAGCATATGAATTTTTTCCTTCAGAGTATTCGATCATATCTTCATCTTAGGAATCTGTATTCTTCCTCTATCAAAGTTTCCATCTTCCAAAATATTTTTTGGAATGCTGCTTGGGAAAGTATGAAGGGCTTGTTTATCATCATACAACATTCAAAAGGCATTCCAATTTACTTTACACCTGAGGTTTGTTTGAAAAATGAGATTTCCACTTTTTTCCTGCCATCTTATTCCCCTTACTTTGTTCAGAACAGCTTTTCCTTATTTCTTAATGTCAAATATATCCCAAAAGATGAAAATTTACAATGACGGACAGAGTTGTCAGAAATATATGCCAGCATATTTAATATGTGACTGAAAATGACAATTCTGAGCACATCAGCAAAGGCAGTAGTCCCTAAAATATACGAAAAACTCTCATCAGTAGCCCACTTACCAGGGGATGACTCATCTGAAGACAGCCACTCTAGTGTATTTGTTGAAAAGGCACATTACTTTATAGTTAAAACTTTTGACAATCTCAGGATGAAGCATGTGGGTAAGGAATGTAAAGGAAGGACTTAGACTCGTCAGCATGAGGATTTCCTGCTCTCTGCTTTTTTTCATCCTGCTAAACCTCCCCCAAATGAGGATGTCTTAGCAACTATGGAAACTTCAGAAAGAAGGGATGCAGAAACAAATGCTAATTGCAGTCCTAAAACTGTGATCCTTTGGTTTTGTTGAATTTTCCCAGAATGAAAAAAGAGCAGAAGGCAACAGCAAGAGCTTGGTAATCACAGTGTTGCTGAGAGGCCAGATAAATTAGGTTTGTGTTCTAAAAGAACAGAGAGCCTTCAAAATAGTCAGCAAACAGCTGTTAGTGAACAGCTCAACCAAGCAACCGGAACAATCCAATACACTCAAGGGGGGTGGGGGTGGGTGAAGAGGGGACAGGGGTTGGGGACAGGTGGTGCCGATCATCTATTCTGTCCTCATAGTTCTTTGGACATGAGACAAACTTCCTATTTCAGGCATCCCAATTATTTGGAGAAAGCAAAAAAAAAAAAAAAAAGCCAAGACTTTCTTGTTAATGAACATACAGAATTTGGCCTTTTGTCTACTTGGGGAAAAGAAAGGTCTCTTTTAGAATTGTTTTTTCAATTAAATGTTAAATTAACCAACAAACTGTAGGAAGAATGGCAAGAAGTGTAGAGGCCAGGTTATGTTCTTGCTTTCTCTTGTTTCTCTAGTACGGTATTTTGAATGTTAATAACGAAGCTTTCAAGGTCACCGGAAACAAGCCATGTCTAAGAAGCCACCATAATCAAGAGGAGTCTTTGAGACATGAAAACTAAATGTGATATGCTGGTGTGGGTGGGATCTTAGAACAGAAAAATACAAGTAAAAGCTAGGGAAATCTGAGTAAAACAAGGACTTTAGTTAATAATGGAGTCCTTGGGTGGTGTTGTGAATGAATCAGCTCTGAAAAACCCTGTGCATGAACCCCAGTTCTTCTCTGACACACATGAGGTCGTCCTGAGTCAAAGCTGACTCAACAGCAACTGGTTTGGCTTGAGTTTGTAATAATGCAGTAATAACTGGTTCATTCATTAACTGTGGCAAATGTGCCATACTAATAATGAAGACTAGGTAAGACTTGAGTTCTGGGCATATGGGAACTCGCTGTACTCTTTTTCTTGCAGTTTTCTCTGTAAATCTAAACTGTTGTGTCAAAAAAAAAAAGTCTATTTAAAACCCTCCAAAACAGAAGCTAATATCATGAATCTACATATGTACATTAAGAAATGCATTTCTGCAAAGGACCCAAAAAGCAACATGATACAAAAGATACAGGAAAAAAAAAGCATTTATTAAAGTAGACCAAGCGCTGAATGCTGGTACCTTGGGTTGTTGTTAAGTGCTATTAAGTTGCTTCTGACTCATAGCAACCCTGTATAAGGTTTCCAAGGAACAGCTAGTGAGTTTGAACAGCTGACCTTCTGGTTCAAACTAACCTTACAGTCCAGTGCTTATTCCATAGCATCTCAGCAGGACTCTACCAGTATTTCCCATTAGGTATTCATTTTCATCTTAATTTTTGGCTTTCTTAAAAAAAGGCGGGGGGGGGGGGCAGCTGAGGACTCTAGATTCATGGGAAGAGAGGGACTAAGAGTTGGTGGACAGGAGGCAGACTTACAGAATGTGCCCTTTGGAGGTGTAAATTATTATATATGCCTGAGTGTTGTTTTTTTTAAAGCTAAAGTGAATAGAGAGAAATACTGTTAACCGATGATACATGGAGGGGATTATAATCACTGTAATGAAACAAGGTGTATGATTTGTTGAATGTAAAACTGATGATCTCGCTGCAAACTTTCACTCAATCCATAATAAAAACCTTAAAAAAAAGGGTAGGTAGAGAGGAGTGGACTAGAATAATAAGAAATGGCCTAAAAAACAAACCAAACTCATGCCATCTAGTCGATTCTGACTCATAGCAAATCTACAGGACAGAGCATAACTACATCTTAGGGTTTCAGACACTAAATCTTTACATGAACAGCCTAATTTTTTTCCTGAGCTGGTTGATTTGAACACTCAACCTTAAAGTTAGCAGCTCTGAGCTTAGCCCACTACTCCATCAGGATTCCTTGGTCTAGAAAAGGGGATTGGGAATAAAAGTGAGGAAGAAAGAGACTGCTGTGTATATTTTCAATGAAAATACAATACGGTTTTTTTTAAGACTGTCTTTACCATAAAAGGTAATGTATTCTTAGCTGCAATGAAAAAAAAAAAAAAAGAGGGTATCTTATGCATTTTAAACCACTAAAAAAAAAAAAAAAATCTAACAAATATTTAAAGCCCTGAAAAGAAAAATTAAATAAACCTGGACTTCTAGTATGGCAAAGTGGGATAAGCACTGGACTGCTAACCAAAAAGTTGGAGGTTCAAACACACCAGCTGCTCCTTAGAAACCCTATACAGAGTCACCATTAGTCGAAACCAACTCATTGGCACTTCAAAACAACAACATACTATCTTGGAGTCCTTGTGTGATGCTGTAGAATAAGCACTGGACTGCTAACCTCAAAGTCAGCAGTTCAAACCCACCAGATGTTCCTTAGAAACTAGACAGGGGCACTGAGAGTCAGAGTCGACGCCATGGCACTTAACAACAACATACTGTTTTAGTTTGTGTTCTAGGAAACAATGACTGACCTGACTGGATATAAGTTTTAGAAGTAAAAGGGCTAATTGTAGTTGTAGAAGAAATAAAGGTTAAAAAAAAAAAAAATCCCTTTAGAACCTTAAGCATATCAAATCTGTTTAGCACATGAAACATAAAATAGAATGTAGTGAAATCAAGGATGAAAAGAATGCCTCCAAACTTGTAATAACTGCTAAAAATAAACAGAATCTTCATTTTAACTCTGAGAGAGATTAACAGCTAAAAAATTTCTCATTTAATCCTTTAGCACATTAAAGTTGTCTTAAAAAGAATCTGTGTTTAATGAGAAAGTACCATAAGGTCAAGTGCTTTATATTTTAAATGCCAAAACAAAAAACCTTGGATTTGACATGCAAATCTGGAGAGAGGTTCAATATGAGTGGATGAATAGGTAGAAAGATCTTGAAATGCTTTTTTTAGCCCTGAAGTTAGAAAGGTGCTAATTTTTTAAAAAGGAAATCAAAGTAAGTACTCTCAGTAGACTGACCACTCTTGTGTGAACCTTTCATACTGACCTGTGGGAAATGATTAGGCTCCCCTGCCTGAGAGTGTGTGGAAAATGATCAATGCTTCTTAAAGAAAAGACTGGTTCTGTTCTTCATAATGTTCAATTTAGTTGAAAAGGTTGGGACAGTGTTAAACTTTTAGAAACTTTGTCTAAGCCAACATTCTAAAATCTAGGCTGGTCAAGAAATATACTGTGCGAAAAATTTACCCACAGGTATCAAATAAAGTGTTGTTGTTGTTAAGTGTCATCTGACCCATAGTGACCCTGTATAGGGTTTCCAAGGAGCAGCTAGTGAGTTTGAACTACCGATCTTGCAGTTCAAATCAACATTGCAGTCTAGCGCATTAACTCCAGATTTGTTGCTCTCTAAAGCCAAAAAGCCAATCCCACTGACAGTGAGTCAGTTTCGAATCATAGCAACCCTATATAGGGTTTCTGATACTATTAATTTTTATGGAAGCAGACAACCACATCTTTCTCTTGCGTCACAGCCTCGGGTGGGATTGTGGTTAGCAGCCCAATACCTAACCTATAATGCCACCAAGGCTTCTTGAGTTGCTTTCATAGTAACACTAAAAGAACCCATAAGCAACCAGCAGCAATACTGTCTCCATACAAGAGATGTGAAGATTTAAAGAAAAAAAATCGTTGAAAGAGTTTTAAGCTATTTTATTTTTGTCTACCAAGTCAAAAGTCAAAGGTAGTTTATTCTTTCACAAGCATTTCTTATTATAGTAGAATTTTGAAATCGCTTCCCTTTGTTGAAGAATTCTTTAAAAGATTTCACATGAAACCCAGGATGTGTGTAACTGCACACTCAGGATTACTATGAAATCTGTCGCTAATCAAACCAACTGATATGATGTTCCTTTCAAGTTCACTGTCTCTGCAATCAAGTCCCTCACTGAAAGAATTGGAAATCACAAGTATAAATCTCTGCAGCAGTAATTGTTTATAAAGTCGTGTAATTGAATCTCTTTAAAAAAAAAAGACACCCTTTTATTTCTCAACCTCTACTTCAAGTGAAAACTCAGCAATTCAATTCATTGGGATTGCTTTTTGGCAGTCTACCCATTGGTTTCACAAAGTACTTTTCAGAAACATATCTCAGGAGTTTATCAACTGGCAGAACGAGTTAACAGGCCAATTGAACTACAGGGTACTCACTGGTTTCCTTTTTTCCCCCCTGATTTACTTTTGATATGTGGTAGAACTACAGACACACTTAAATGTTATTATAGAAAAGTTTCCAAGTCTACATTCTGACTGTTCAACAGTAGCAGTGATATAGAGACAGACTAGGATCAATTCTGTACTTTTTATTCAGGATGACTCCTTTTCTCTTGTAACTAAGAATGCAAAGAACCAAATGGGGTAGCAACAGTAAATACACTGGCAGAAATACAGAAGCTTGCTCCCACTGCAATAGGTGCTCTCCACCACCCCCCTCTCTCTCTCTTTTTTTTATTTGCAAGTCTTTCTAATTTTTAGCAATGCTAGCAGTCTGTACCACACTCAGAGCCATTTACCAGTTAAGTGCAAGAAAACAGGCAAGCATAGCTCAGAAAGATTTACTCCCAAGACTTGGCAGGAATGTTACAGATAAGGCAGTTCAAAACCATTAGCTGCTCTGTGGCAGAAACATGAAATTTTCTGCTATGGCAAAGATTTATAGCGTCACTATGAGTCAGAACTGACTCAATGGCACTTAAAAAAAAACAAACAAAACCAGGGATATTTAAGAAAATCTGGTGACTCTTTGGGTTAGGCATTAAAATGCTAACCACAAGGTAAGCAGTTAAAACCCAAAAGAACAGGCTATCTGCTTCCGTAAGATTGGCAGTCTTGAAAACTCTGTATAGAGTCACTATGAGTCAGAATTGTGTAGATGGCAGTGAGTTTTTTGGTCTAAGGAGTATTTATAACAGTAGATACAGTAATATGATTTGCATTTGACCATTCAACTGCAGGCATGAGAACCAGAACAGAGAGAGTAGGGTTAAATACACATAGATACTGCAGTCTAAATAAATAAAATCCACAACTAGCGGTCTTATGTTGAGCCCAGGCCTGGAGGCTCACCGGATTTCTGCACTGGAACCCCATTTATGCATCTCCTTAGTATTTGAAGGATAGATCAAGCTCCTTGAGGGGCACTTGTTTCCCACAGCTTGGAACTGTCAGAAAGTTAAGACAAGGGCATCTGTAGGCCCCAAAGCCCCAACTGGAGAGCTTTCCTAGCTAATACCCTGATTAGAGATTAACTACTTCTGGGAATGCCTGGGGCAGATTTTAAATGCTCCCCACCTCTCTCGCGATCCGTGCTGTATAAATTAGTCATACTGTAAGCTCTATTTTAGACGCTGTGTACAGTACATATATAGAACCCACAGCGGCGGGAGTCCTGCAGGGTCCCACGGGCCATGAGCAGCGTGGCAAAGGCAGGGGGTTCCCTAGAGACCCTGATCTGACCATTCGAGGTTGCCCCAGCCCAATCCCTCTTTCTAGGCTGGGGAAGGAAAAGCTCTTCGTGCTCCATCCCCCATATCCCTGGAGTGGGGGGGCCTTCACCTCCAACTTGTCGGTCAGCTCCTTGTGCATCTGCTCGTACTGCCGGCTCATGTCCTGGTTCCGCTCGAGCAGCGCCTTGCCCAGCCGAGCCGCCAGCACTAGATCCTTCTCCTTCTGCCGGATCACCGACAGCAGTTCGGGATCCGGGGCGGGTGGCGACTGTGGGTCGTCCCCCTCGGCCGGAGGCCCGGGCTCAGCCTGAGGATGCTCGCCGTGGTCGCACGGCCGCTCCCCGGCTGCCAGCAGCGCCAACTCCTCCTCTAATGCCAGTTCCAGCTCCCCGGGGCCCCCGGGGAAGGAGACCAGGGCGGCGGCGGCGGCGGCGGCGGCGGCACTCCCGAGTGCGTCCCCGGCCGCGGGCGGGAGCTCCATGCAGCAGGCGCTGTCCGGCTCGCCGGGTGCTGAAGTGCGGCCGGCCAAGCCCAGGCAGAAGGCAGACATGGCCCGCGCGCGGAGC